AWYSGKWRGRWTTKGRAAAWWAAAWWWTKGSYTTKKTKGKKKTTKGGKTTTTTTTTTTTWWAAACCCTGTGGTCCCAAATTAGAACTTTTGAATTTTTAATAGCTGCAGGTGAACATATCCAGTACAGAAAATCAGATTTTTGTGAGCATCAAATCCCRTTTAAATTTGTAAATTGTACAAAGGATTTGCGGAGACTTTTGAAACTGCAGTGAGTGCTCTCTGAAGGTGCAGAACAAAGTGGTATATATTCAAAGGAGAATACTTGGGGAAAAAAAAAAAAAAACAACACCCCAAGAGATGAAAAAAACTGCTCATGCCCATTTACCAAGAAAAACCTGAAAGCTAAAACTGCATGACACATTTGGACAGGATCACTGACTTRCTACAGCTCACTTTTCTGTTGAAAGTGGGCATGGCCCATCGGAAAGTCAGCAAATTATAGTCCTTACTCAGTGCTCAAAATTTACCCCCTTCCCCAAAGATACTGARGATTCACAAAGCTAAGGGTTTTGGGTGGGCTCAGGCTTTATGATGTGAAAACACATCAGCTTTTACAGGAACAAGGGGATCCCAGGTCCTAGAAAAAGCAAGTGACATCTAAAGCCACTCTGATGTTATGTTAAAAACCCATGTCCTTACAGTGAAGTCTATGTCAGCTCTGCTACAAATGAATTCTGACCCCACTTAGTCCATGGCCCTTGCTCACAGATTTCAGAGGAGGGCAGGATCTTTCTTTCAGGTTTTGAAAGGCAGACACCCAGCTCCCCTTCCTCCAGTCAACACACAAAGTGAGAAAAAACACCAGCATTGCATTAGCTATTTTTTTTCCTTTCAGCAGCATTGATTGAGTACCTGACTGCCTGGAGTCACTGCTGTATTATTTTTAAGGCTCACTTCTAGCTTACTCCTTGACTCGTATTTAGCAAAGACAGGCCCCCATTTCTCAATGGGGACTGTGTCTGCTGACAAACCCCAGGAATCAGGACTCTGAATTACAGACTAAAAAGTCCTACAGGAGTAGACAGCATCTGGTCAGTAAACTATGTCATTTAGGGAGAGTAGCACAGGGGACAACAACTATGGTGCATTAGCTGTTGGGTTTTGTTCGCTTTGCTGTGGCAGAAAATGCATTTTGAGATGTTCTTCTTCCAGCCCCTCCGAGAGGTGCATCTTTCTTCACAAAGGTGTTATCAGACTTTTAGGACTCTCCTTGGAACTCCTAATGCCAGTGGTTTGTTGTCCGTTTCTGAAACTGAACACAAGTGAAATACTGAGAACTACAGAACGTTATCCAGGGCATCATCAGACACTGTCCTCTCCGAATAAACTACACTACAATAACCATGTTACACTGCTAATATAAACATTAGATGAAATCTAGTACAGTGTGCCTTGGTGGATGGCAGCAGCAGTGCAGCAAACAGCGCTTGGAATTCAGACATCATTCAGCGACTGTAATTTAGTTACTTCAGGCTGTTCATGCAAGAAGCCTCTGAGGGTAATCTAGTTTGACTTTTGGGTTTCTAGCTACAGTTTATCAACTGCAAAGCTGAAAAGCCACAGGTCAGACATGTAAGAAGTCCCTAACTGATAAAGAGCAAYATGCCCTTTCTCAAGGAACCTGACCTAGGAATGTTTCTTATTGTGGAAGCGKAATGACAGCTCCTTATACTGACCAGGAATTAAATACAGGGAATCCCAGCTTTTTCAAGCTATTATTGCTGCAAATTCCAGTACCAATTCTCACTGAGCTGAAAGGTGGCTACACAGCTGCTCTTTGGTTAAAGCAGTTTCCCTCTGCTGCTGTAAGAACTTTKGTCACATTGTAGTGGATGTGCATAGATTTGAGTGGAAATGTTTGCCCAGGGTACCCTAATTAGCAGTGTTGGTGGGACAAGAGAAGTGTTGTTGCTTACAGCTAAATCATATAAACCAGAGGAAAAGCTGTCCTGGCCTGTCTCTGGCTGCCCTGAAAGAGGCTAGAATGTTGAAATCCTGTCTTTAATTTCACATAGTACCTAAAGAACTTACACTGGAAGAATGAAGTGTTTCATAATGCAATATAATCCTCTTAAATAAATTGCTTAAAGGAATAGTTCAAATAAAGATTTAAGGAAAGTGAATGATATAATACGATGGAAAGTCTTTGGATATCTGAAGCAACAGCCTTAAGGTGCTATGAAGGTCAGCCTTGCTTTGCAAGTGCACATCAGCTCTCAGGTTCAGACATTGTCAAGAAATTGTATGATGTCATTGTCTGTCAAATTAACAACCCAAAAGAAAATAATCTAAAGTGCACTTTGAAAGCTTTGAAGTTTTGTKGTCAACCTGAAGAAACATGTTTCCTGATTGTGAAAAGGGACTGTGTTCTGAATTCATGTGAAGCACGGGATGAATGAAAGCTGCCTTACCATTTCACCTTCAGCATCTGCTCAAAGCTCTCGGGCAGCGGATTGCCGTAGCTCTCTGGCAGAAACAGRGTAAGGATCCCAATCAGCACRGTCAGGCTCCCCATCAGGATATATGGTAGGTATCTGTCGTAGGCACCTGGCAGAACACACAACAATCCAACAGTCCCTAATGTCCACAACTGACAAACTGACATGTAAAGTCTATRTTCCAGACATTGCTGTAATGCAGAATTAATTTGGAATAATTAGCTGAAAGCATCATCAGTATCAGAGGTGAATCCAAAGCTGAGTTACATCTGTTACCTTCCAGCAATCAAAGGGACTTCTCAATTTTAAATCTTCAACATGTGCTCTTGGATGACCACACCTACCATAATTTCATGCCAACCAGCATGTTTGTGTAGCAGCTAAAGTTTGGGTTGGGKWTTTTTTTGGTTTCTTTTTTTTTAACATTTTCCACTGGGATAGCCAACATCTTTGCAAGGCAATAGTTCTGCTGGKATCACTGCTGGAGTCTTCACTACCACACTGACATCAAGACCCAAATCCTCTGTTAAATAATTCAGTATGAGGGTATAAAATTGCTCATAAGCACTCATCAGTGCCTGAGATCATGTGTCCTKCTGGGCTGGTGCAAAAGAAAGGAAGAGACTAAATCAGCTGAACAGGCTCACAGACTAACAACTCATTAATGGGGGAATGCTTTAATGCCTTTCTTACTGCAAAGAGAGACAACATCAGGCTTCCTGAGACACACATGAGGCTCTGACCTTGGTCTACTCAGAATATTATTTTGGACTTGAAGGCAGCAGCCCCTGCCAGCAGCCTGAAGTTGGCACACAAGTGTTTAGTCAGGATGCAAGATCCTCAAATCACAACAGCACAGCAATGAAAAGGCCTTTCAGAAAAGGGATTAGCTAGGAGTTAAAAGTATTTAAGACAGAGAAAGTACCAAACTGGACCTGACAGCTTTATTTTATAGTTGGAATAGAGTAATATTCTTTATAATGTATGGAATAACTCAGATTAAAGAGAGGACCCCTGGGTATGTCTCACAGAGCCAAAGTTTGTGATCTGATCTCCTCTGTGTTTATGAGCTGCACGAACTGCAAGGTCCTAATTTAGCTGTAGCAAATAACAGCAGCTGACAAGTTTCTCCTAAAACCTCTTAAAGTTTAAGAAACTATTTTGATGTCTGGAACATGATTTCTTAAAGACTGAGCCTATAGAAACCTGGGAAAAAAAAAGACTCCACAAACCCACAAAAAAACAATCAGTAAAAATGTTACTCTGACTATATCTGTCTCTTAGTGCTGCAGTGGAGACTGACTCTCCTTAAGGTCTGCATAGTCCTGCTGACCCTTTTATTTTTTATTTGCACTGTACAAGTATGAAACCAAGACAAGGCATTTTCATAATTTTTGGTACAGTGTGTTCCAGTTACACCAGAATGCAGAGGTGAGTCAACACTGATCAGTTACAGACAGCCATCTCCTCTCCCCTTTTCGTGGCATGGAGAACCAGCATTAACCCCTCAGCAGTACACCAGCAGTGTTGGGCCTGAGCCAGCAAAGTCTTGCTCATGTTGTATCAAAATCTCAGCAGGAAACAATACTTGTTAGGGACAGAGAGAGTTGAGATGGGTCCAGTGGTGGCAGAAGGAAATAAATCATGTGTGAGCAAAAGAAAGAGGAGATTGAGCGCCCCAGGCTGAGCAGCAGGTATTCACAGATATTCTACCCTTAATCTCCTAATCTCTGCCACCCTTTGCTATTGGCAATATGAGGAACATTTTTATGTATTAAACAAAAACCAAAAAAATATTTTTCAGTTAACATATGTGCAGCACTCAGAATGGGACGGTATTGAGTGTCAAAAAGAAGCCTATGAGGAAATCAATAATTCTGCTTACAGAACTACTGAGCAATAAGAAAAAGCAACATGAATGAATGCCRAGGTGACTGGCGTAGTAACTAAAAAAAAAATTTTAATAAAAACAATCATTTCAAGTAAACACACTTTTGTGGTACTTAACCTGTATTTTTCTATGGATTACTTGAGAGAGCACAGATCCTGGGAATGTTAGTATTCCTACTTGGGATGCACACAGACAGTACCATGCAATGAATTTCCTACTGCTACATTTCCTTACTTTCAAGACCACTTCTTACTACACTCTCCTGGGAAACTAACTGGTGTCCCAAGATGTGATTATCATTCCAGCCACTCTGTTTGCACAGTTTATAAACATCACTGTTGTGTTGGGCCAGCTCTAACCCACTTCAGTGATATATGAACAATCCTAAAAGAACAATGTGCCTGACCCTTCTGTGAAGCCCAGGGAGCTCCACTTAATTTCTACCATGTGTGACAATGAACTCACACCCCAGAGAGAAGGAGCTAAAAAGACAAGTGAAGGGACTTAAAGCTGTGCCTGCACTGCAGGAGCTCAGACAACTTCTCTGGGCAGTTGTGTGGTGAGAAAGACAAGGTGCAAGAAAGACAAGACATCTTACCCAGGTAAACAAAGTAAGGAGCAATGATGCTGCCCAGCCGGGAGGCCGTGGAGGTCGCTCCCACTGCCATGTTCCGCACTAGCGTTGGGTACAGCTCCACATTGTAGACATAAAGCATTGAAAACGCAGCTGTGATGCCAAACTTCCCAAGCATCACCAGTCCAACAGAGAGGACATTAAGATCTGGAGCAGAAAAAAATAAAATCAAGGTGACTAAACAACACTGTGCTTATTAGCTGTATTTCTTCTACATCCAAAAGACTGTATTGCTGTGTTTTTCCTAAAGGTTGTGAGGTTGGTGCTTCAGGTTTTTTTAATTATACAAAGTATTAACCCTATCCCTACACGACTCCAAACTCCCCACTGAGCATAATGTAGATGCTCAGGTTATTTTGTCTTTTTCAGATTTTGCTTGTCTTCAAGTAAAACATCATTCTTGAAATGGAACAAAACTCTGGATTACACAGCAATAAACAACCAGCTTGAATCCACCCCCTTTTCTCCAAATTCCGTGGAGATTTACACACAGTGAAATCYGAATGCAGGTTTCTGTAGCCTGCGAACACAACCAGATACATCACAGTACACTTTCAGCTCTCATTTTAGAAGCTGGTTCCCCAGGACTATATAAAGCTCAGTAATTTGACAGAATAAATGAGAGTCAAGTGTGACTCAGCATATACATATGCAATAAAAAAACCAAGGCTGCAAGGGATCAGCATAAACTTGACCTCAAATTCTAAATATTAACCCAGTTTCCAGTAATTTTGCAGAACTATCACACAGTACCATAGCATATTTTGAATAGTTCATATACTTAAGTCACATATTTAATCTTGTACCTGCAGGAACCAGCTGAATGAAGAGGACAACACTTCCCCCTAAAAAAAAGGTGCCAGATAAGGAGTAGCGCCGTGGGAGAGAGCGGAGGAGAAGCCAGGCGATCACGTAAGCTGGAACTTCAATAACAGCCGAGAGGAAACAGTTGATGTAGGCATTTCCATGCCAGTCTGGAGTGCTGAGGGACAGGCCAAAGTAGCCAACTGATGTGAAAAACCTGGGAAAAGCAATAAACCAAAATTATTCCAGAAATAGCAGTCTCTGAACGCCTCCAGTGGTGCCTCAGATGTTACAAAAATAGGATGTCGCAAAGCACCGCCACAGACATCGTGGCTTAAAAAAGTCTCAGTGGCAACCCCATCTTTCTAATTCTGTTATCCCATCCAGTGATCATATCCACAGCGGCTTGAAGACACCTCAGATTTCTCTGTCCTTCCTGCATACGTTACACCAAGTAAAAAGCTTTGTGGAAGTCGTTCACAAAGGCTTTTCACTGCAACAGGCTCAACGACACAATGAAACTCTTGCAAGCTTCCCATGCCAACTAAATTCCTACTTGTAGCCAGTGTCAGGATCTCCCACCCTCAGCACTTCCATTACATCTTATTTAATCTTCACAGAGAGCTGGATGTTCAGGTTTCAAATCTCAGGAGCACCTTACTATGGCATGCCAAGTGTGCTAGCCAGTTGCTTTCTGCTGGGGGCAACATGGACAGAAAAGGGTCCTGGTTTGTCTATATGGCATTATTGGGTCCTCATTCCTTGTGGCTGCCCAGGCAGGGAGCAGGATCTCACTGAGATGGGCACAATACAGAAACAGAACAAAAACACTGACCATGGGTCTGGCTCTTATGTTATTGAGCTTCAAGAAGAACACTTCTCTTCAAATAGAGATTAAAGAGATGGGAGCATTTAAGGAAAAAAAAAAAAACCAAACCATACTTCAAAATACACAAGTAGTTACATATAGCTTTCTAACTATTTTACACCTG